TTAATTATTATTATCTATTTATATATATATATATAATTATTTACCAATAATAATCTTTTATCATTATAGGTTGGAAATGCTTTTTATTAGTAATAATTTAATAAACAATATTTATTATCCTAAAGGAGTTGATAATCAAGAGTTTCCAAAATTAAAATATTTAAATGTTAGTGAAAATAAAATCAATGATTGGCAAAATGTTAATGAACTTAATAGATTTCCTTCATTAGAAGAGTTAAGAATTAAAAAAAATCCACTTTTTGATAGTAATGAATTTGATGAATTTTAACATATTGATGATTTTTATGATTATATTTTAATCACCTTACAAATCAATAACACTTATTTTTGTATCTATAATATAGATATAAAAGCCAATGAAGCATATATTCTAATTGTTGGTAGAATTAAAGGATTAAAAATGATGAATGGAAGTCTGGTAATTATAATCATTAATCATTATTAAAATATCTTTTCGATTTGGTAAACAACATTAAATCTTATGTATAGATATCATCTAATGATAGAATTGATACTGAAAGATATTATTTGAGATTATGCATCAAGGATTTGAAATCGCCTGATGAAATAGAGAAACACCATCCTAGATTTAAAGAATTATGTGAAATTCATGGTGAACCTACTTTTGATGAAAGATAGATTAATCATTATCATTATCATTGTCATTATTGCTAATCGCTAATTAATTAATTATAAAATTTATTAAAAATTGTATTTAAACTAGACTGTAAAAGGCACTTCAATATCAAAATAATTGATATCAGATGAAATCATAATACACACATCGATAAGTCGGACGCAGCAATCAATTGTTTAAAGTACTTTATAATATAAATAAATGTCCGACTTATCGAGTTTAGATGTGTATTATCAAAATAATTTTTATATTTAAGCGATCGATCGAAAATTAGATGCAATCAATCAATGATAAAAAAATTTTTCGTTGAAGTTGTGCTACCGTTTTAATAAAAAAATTTTTTCTTATAAAAAAATAAAAAATAAATTGAATAAATTAGAATTATTTAATATTTATTATAATAATTAATTTTTATTATCATGAGTTGTAAAGTTGGTGAGTGAAAAATAAGATAATAGTAATGATTTTTAAATCATAATATTTTAATTTGAATAATGAATCATTGTATATGACTTTATGAATTAGCTGATGTTTCCCTCGCTAGTTGGGGTCGTAAAGAAATTTATATAGCAGAAAATGAAATGCCTGGACTTATGCATTTACGTAAAAAATATGGACCTTCTAAACCTTTAAAGGGTGCACGTATAGCAGGGTGTCTTCATATGACGATTCAAACTGCGGTTTTAATTGAAACACTTACTGAACTTGGAGCTGAAGTAGCTTGGAGTTCTTGCAACATTTTTTCCACACAAGATCAAGCTGCCGCCGCCATTGCAGTCACTGGCGTGCCTGTTTATGCATGGAAAGGTGAAACTGAAGAAGAATATATTTGGTGTATTGAACAAACTCTTTGTAGTTTCAAGGATGGTAAACCTCTTAATATGATTCTTGATGATGGTGGTGATTTAACCAATTTGGTTCATACTAAATTTCCACAATACTTGAAAGGTAAGAAAAAATTTTTTTTTATAACGATAACTAATTATATCAATAAAAAGAATTATTAAGATGATGATTATTATTATTAATTAATTATTAGATATTAAGGGTGTTTCCGAAGAAACAACAACTGGTGTTCATAATCTTTACAAAATGCTTAAAGATGGACAATTGAAAGTTCCAGCAATTAATGTCAATGATTCAGTTACAAAATCCAAATTTGATAACCTTTATGGTTGTCGTGAATCACTCGTTGATGGTATTAAAAGAGCAACAGATGTACAAATTGCTGGTAAAGTAGCAGTTGTAGCAGGTTATGGTGATGTTGGCAAAGGTTGTTCAGCATCACTTAGAGGAATGGGAGCTCGTGTGATCATTACAGAAATTGATCCTATTAATGCTTTACAAGCAGTTATGGAAGGTAGATAAAATATTACATTAATATTATATTATACTATATAAAAAATTTAAATTAAAAATGTAACATCACATTATAGGTTTTGAGGTTACAACTATGGATGAAGCTTGCTCAAAAGGTAATCTTTTTGTAACGACAACTGGTAATCGTGATATTATTGTTGGTAGACATTTTGAACAAATGAAAGAGGATGCTATTGTAAGTAAGTAAGTATCAGTTGATTTTATTCACAAAATTATTATTTTTTTATTTGTCAATTAAGATATTAAAATATTATATTTATCATTTTTTACTAAATCTTTCTCTTTTTTTTTTTGATTATAAAAAGTATTGGACATTTTGATATAGAAATTGATGTGGATTGGCTTAAAAAAAATTCAAAAGAACATGTAAACATTAAACCACAAGTTGACCGATATACTTTAGCAAATGGCAGACATATAATTTTGCTTGCAGAAGGAAGATTGGTAAACCTTGGATGTGCTACAGGACATCCAAGTTTTGTTATGAGTAGCTCGTTTTCAAATCAAGTATTGGCACAAATTGCCTTATGGACAGATAATGCATCTTATCCACTTGGTGTTCATATGTTACCTAAAAAATTGGATGAAGAAGTTGCACTAGCTCATCTTGAACCATTGGGTGTTAAACTTACAAAACTTACACAAGAGCAATCGGAATATCTTGGTATAAATCCTAATGGGCCATTTAAACCTGAACATTATCGGTAATTATTTTATAGTTTTTTTAATTTTATAATGATTATTTATTTATATTAATTGTGTTTTTTTTTTCTCCTATTTTTACAGTTATTAAAATTTTATTAATAAATAAAAATAAAAAATAAATTTTTTGCAACTCATCTTTTTATTGGCCTTGCCAAGAAGTGCCAAGGATGTTAAGATGCGAAATTCCTTTTAACTGGCTAATTTCATTTTCACAAAATTATGTTGGTATGTCACGTTATCGCCAGTGTGTTAGATTTGACTGCGGCCAACCCTGATATAATCATTGGCAAAAACCAGTATTGATATTAAATTAATATAGTTGGCTGACACTTATCACAACGAATTATCATTTTTTACCTTTAATGTTAATATTGTTTCGTATAAGTCACATGATTTTTACAATAATACCAAAATTGTAGTTTCGCGCAATAAATTTTAATCCATTCACACAAGGATTATTAATTCTTTGGAGAAAATTTCTATTTTTAAAACTATTTTTGAATAAAATCTCCATAAAGTTTTATTCAGCATTGTTTTATTTATTGTTTTGGCAATTCCGGCTTGTGTACATTTTGAAACTTATTTATTGTAAACAAAAATAATAGAAATTATTAATATTAATAATACCATATTATCATTGTTTAAGTCACAAAGAATGTGTCAAATAAATAAATAAATGTCCATAAAACGTCACATAAAGAAATAGTAAAACACAAAACACAACAGACACGACATTGTACGAACTAGCACATATACGGATCTCAAAAAAGTAACAAAAAAAAATTTCATATAAATTGGGCGTTGCTACAAAAAATTGTTTTTTTTTTTTTCTTTGGACAATTAATTTCTATTATTATTTAATAAATTATCATCTTTTTTTATCGATATTATCGATAATAATATTTTTTTGTGTGTGTATATATAGAAGAGAGCATTTTCCAAAGAATTTTTTTTTGGAAATTCCATCATATATCATTATATAGGGTTTTGATAATTCCTTTTTTTATATAAAATTGTAAATAATAAAATAATAAATAATATAATAATGGACTCCTCAGGGAAGAAGAATCCATTACCAAATTGCGAGTAAGTATTAATATAGTTGATATAGGCGGATTTTTTGTTATGTAGTACAATAGTTTAATGGGGCATCTTTTTAAGCTGTTGTAAACGACCCATATTAATATAAACATTTTTCGATAATTTTTTTAGATGGACAGTGACAATTTCAAATTGTGTAGACCAAAATTATTACCAAATAATATATAATATAACAATATATTTATCATTAATAGTATTTTTATGTGCAGTTGGGCTATTATCATGGCGTAAATACGGTAAACCAGAGGCGAAATTATTTTGTATAAAAGGGTTTTTGGCAATGGAAGGATTTCTTTTCACTCAAATATTTTGGGGCATGTGTAAGTAACAAAATATTATTATTGTCACTAAAAAACCATTTAAACAGTGTTAATAACAATAATTATTATCTTTTCCATTTCGTTTATGATAATTACACAGTACGAGTGCTTGATTGTTTCATATTGATATATGATTACTTTCCGAAAAATATGATATTGCGAGAAATGTTATTTACCGTTTCTTGGTTATTGGGTTCAATATCAGTAACAACATATTTAGCCGGTATATTAAGAACAATACCAAGAATGCATTTCTATCGACAAAATCCAGAATATAAAACACTTTACCTACCAAGTATTCAAAACACAGCTATCATCTACTTTTGTTATGTATTCACAATAGGAATTACACTCACGACATGCTCATTTTTCATCGGCTATTTGGAAACCAACCCAAATTCAATAGTGATAGCATACGTTTTGAAATCTGTTGAGTTTAGTGTTTTTGCAATTTGTTGCTTCTTGATGTCATTTGGATACATAATATATGGTAGTAAATTGATCAGTATAGCAAGTGAAGGTATACACTTATTGGAAGGTGTAAATGATTATCAAAGTCATATTAAATCAAAAAATTCTCGTAATACTACTCATAGTCTATCAGGATTAGAATTGGAAATTAAACATAAAAGATTAAAACGTAGTGTCCGCAAGGTAGTTACCAACAATAATAAATTTTATTGCTTACCCAAAAATTACATATTTACTAATGAAAAAATTTTATTTTTCTATAATAAATCTAGATGCGTATAATAAATATGTCATTTATTTCTTCTATAATAATTTTAGGAATAATATTGGCTGCTTCTGCAATCTTCTGCAAACAATTATATGAAAACCTAATCAGTAATAAAGTATTTGCTGCATTTACTAATTTATTTCCAATGTTAGTAAATGTTGCTGTAATGGCAGGAATAGCATATGGGTAATTAGTAGATTTATTTAATCTTGATTTATTTACTAGTTAAATTAGTTAAAGAAGGAAAATATTAATTTTTATTTTATTTTATTTTATTTTAAATAGTGAAATGACAGTTCATAATAAATATGAAATAGGTTTTGAAAATAATATTACTTCTTCCATATCAACAAATAATCCACTTCCACCAAGAGAATCAATTGAGACAATAGCTGTTCATACGAGAGATCCTTCAACTGATTCAGAATCTCCTTTACTATTATTGCCTCCACCTGTGATCTTGTCTACAATGTATCATCATAATCATTATGGCGGTAGTGGTGGTAGTAACGGCAATGGCAACCTTAGTAATAATATTAGAAGTAATAATATTAGCAGTAACGATCTTAGAAGTAATAATAGCAGAAATGATATTAGCAGCAATAATATTAGCAGAAATGATATTTACCGTAATAATAATGGTGGTAGATCTTCATTTGCTACAACAACAAGTTCTTTAAATTCACCAATAAATTCAACTCCAATGAGAATAAATTATTCATACATTTAATTAGATTTTTTTGCTTAGCAAATAAATCCAAAACATTTTTATATACACATAAAAAAATTAAAATTTTTATATACACAAAAAAAAATTAAATTTATATACACACACAAAAAAAATTAAATTTTTTTATACACACAAAAAAATCACAAAACAAACTTTTTTTCTTTCATTTTTAAAAAAAAAGAATAATTTGATTTATTTTTTTTTTTTTTTCAATGCCCCAACGCTCGTAATTAATTGTCCCACCTCTTTTTCGTATATTTTATAATTATAACAATATAATTCATTATTATTTATTTATTCTATTTATCCATCAATATTCATTAATTTTCAATTATATTTATTATTATTTTATTTTTGTCCTTAATAAAATAAGATAAAGAAAAATTTCTTTGCGAAATTTTCTTTAATGAAGATAAAATTTAAAATGTTACACGATCTTTCATTTTTCAAATTTTCCAAATTATTAAATAATGTACATTATCCAAAGAAATTTTACATCATTATCATTATCTAAAAGTTCTAATATATTCAAAAATGGTATAAATAAATGAAAGATCTAAAAAATTAAAATTTTAATGTTTTTGTATATTAATAAATTAATCCTAAACATCCAAATAGTATCAAATAGTTTTTTGATTAGAAAAAAAATGTTTTCAATTTCGCAAAATACATTTGACTCTGTTAGCACAGATTGGCTTGCTGAAAATATTGATGATACAGTTATACCAGTTGATGGATCATGGTATATGCCAAATGCTAATAAAGATCCACATAAAGAATATTTGGATAAAAGAATCAAAGTAATTTTTATAAGTTTATTTTGGGAAAAAAAATTTTTTTCCTGTAATAATCAATTATTATCATTATTATAGAATGCAAGGTTTTTTGGAATAGATACAATTAAAGATAATGATACGACGTTACCACATATGTTACCATCAGCTGAAAAATTTGCTGAAGCTATGGGTAATTAATACCTTGATCTTTTTAAAAACAAATTTATTTGAATAATTTATTTGATAAATTTGGTGGGCTTTTTTTTAAAAAAAAAAAGGTAAATTGGGAATTTCTGAAACTGATTATATAATTTGTTATGATGCTATTGGAGTATTTTCTAGCCCAAGAATTTACTGGACTCTTAAAGTAAAGTTATTATCATTTCATTATTATTATTATTTTATAATTATTATTATTAAAAAATATCTTTTTTAAAAAAAAGGTTTTTAATCATGCAAAAGTGTCTTTGTTGGAAGGTGGATTACAAAAATGGATTGATGAAAATAAGCCATTAGATAACGGACTACCTTCATTTAAAGTAAATAAGCAAATAAATAAATAAATAAATAAATAATGGCTTAATTGATAATTTGATAATAATAAAATTTTTTTAGCCTAAAGTTTATAAATTACCAGAAGTAAGAACTGACCTTATAAGAACTTATGAACAAATAAGAAAGAATATTAAAGAAGGACCTGATTCACCAAATTATGAACAACTAATTGATGCAAGACCTGAGCCAAGGTGACTTTTATTATTATTAATTAAATTTTATTATTGAAAAATCATTGATTATTCATTTTTTGTTTATATTAGATTTAATGGGATAGCTCCAGGTAAAATAATAATAATAATAAAAATAATAAATGAAAATATGATCGAAAAAATTAAAATTTATATTAAATAGAACCAAGACCTGGATTACCTAGTGGACATATGCCATATTCAATATCATTACCTTTCGATAAAGTGATTGATCCAAAAACCAAACGAACATTATTGGATGATGATTCATTGAAAAAATTGATTGAATCAAAGTCAATTGATCTAGAAAAACCTATCGTATTAAGTTGTGGTAGCGGTATAACTGCGTCTATATTATATGTTGCTTTAGAAAAATTGGGAGCAAAAAAACTTTCTGTTTATGATGGGAGTTGGACCGAATACGCTAGTAAAGAAGATTCTCCTATTGTTGGAAGAAAATAAGTAAATAAATAAATATTTGACATTGAAAATCAAATTTTGTCACCAACACTTTTTTTAAGAATTAAAATCTAACAAAAAAAATATCAATGGTTTAAAATTCGTAAATTTCTTTCAATTGTACTTTTTCTTTTTCTTTAATTTTCATGTTTTTTTTTTTCAAACATTCATTACGTACGTTATTACAATAAATAAAAAAAAAAACAAAGGAAAAAGATTGTTTACGAATAATATATTCCATTCTACCAATTACTAAATAAATGTTGAGACAAACTCGTTTTACTCCACCTAGACGTCTTTATGATTATGATGATTATGATAACAATTCTTCAAATATAACGCTGCTACTTCTTTAAGAAATCGAAATGATTCAATGTTCTTCTAATCCATCAGATATTATCTTCCGAGTTATCAAATTTTCACGGAGGCAACAGCATTGTTATTAACAATAATAACGGCTATCAAGTCTAGATCTTAAATTAATTAGATCTAGGTCTAACACTTTACATACTATTAATCATAACAACAGCAGCAACAACAACAACAACAATAATGCACAAAATTCCAATTATCATGGTAAAGAAAGATCTTATAAATATATAATATATATATGTGCGTGCATTTAATTATAATTAATAAAGGAAATTAATCAATATCAACGACAAACCAATTTAATCAAATCCAATTTGTTTAGATATTAAAAAGGGGGTCGTTGTGTCATTCTTATTGGTAAGATAATAAATTGCAATTCTTTTTGGAAATATTAGATATGATATTCACTCATAATCAGCATGAATTAATCTTTACCATAACCAATGTTTCGTAACTCCAGTCCCGAGCCACACAATTCCAACCCCAATATTCAACTACTGCTCCTTCCACCAAACTTAGTGAACCTCTATTAGAGTTGTTAAGCAGATGCACCAAGACTAGACACATTATGTGACAGGTGCTCAAAAAACCAGCTTTAGCAATATTAAGAAAAAATCATCTAAGCTGCAAATTAACAACATCTTGTTGCACGAAATATCGTGTCCAATTTGAGACTTTTTCTTTTTTTGTCTTGATAATCTAAAGTATCTCTGTCGTTATTATCTTTTTTTTTTGTTCAAAAATCTACTATGTATCTCACGTACAAGCTTATTTGTAAAGGGCTTTTTTCATTTGATGTTTACTGCCTACATCTAATCCTTGGTTAATTAAAATATTTACTTATTTTAAAAATAAATAACGTTACAGGGCTCGGAACTTGTTGTCCTCGTTTAATCAGAAAGGAACTTTTCTATTTGATACACTTATTACCTTCTTCATAGACGTGTGATTTATTATATCGTGTTTATGAATTTTATAATATTTAAAATAGTGTGCAAGTGGGTGGTGATGACTAAATAAAATTTGTCAGGCGATCTTGTAGATCTTTGCTGTTTTCATAATTCTAAAAGTGGAAAGAAGAAAGAATGTCCTTCATTAGCACTAAATTTTTATTAGTTTTAATCCCATCCAAATTAATGATGATGTAAAAAGTTGAAGAAATAAATTAAATTAAGATTCAATATAAAAGAAAAAACGTAATTTTGAAGACGGCAATCAGGTAGACTATATATCAAAAAAGAAATTAAAACGTTTGAGCTTCTAGAAATTTTACTGTGAAATTATAGAAATTTTTTAGAACTTTTAAAAAGATAAAATTCTTCTGAATTAGCCTGGCTAGCTCAATTGGTAGAGCGTGAGACTCTTAATCTCAAGGTTGGGGGTTCGATCCCCCCGTTGGGCGCATTTTATTTTAGATATCAAAAAATACAATTTTACCAGCAATTACATTTAGTTTTATTTACATTGTATATTAATATTAATATAAATCACCATGTAAACTCGGACGCAGCAATTACTAAAATCCATAATTTGCTATTAAAATTTGCAAGTGAATGGTTCAACAAATCAATATATATTGATTGCGTCATTGTTTTTTTCTAATTTCGGTATTCAACCTTAATTACCTAAACAAGATGGAAATGGCAATGTTAGATACTTTGTGATTATTGTAGAGAATTGCAAAGCGGGTATAAATTATATATATCAATATATAATTGTAGCATGCGAAATTCGTAGAGTTGCCGATTACAATGGTAATAGAAACTTCGAAGTTCATCATAGTTGTTTTTTTTTTTTTTTTTTTATTTTTTGAAAATTTTATTTAATTAAGTTTGTTTTGTGTGTATTTGTAAGGTGATAGTAATACAAAATTATTCTTCATTCACGTTCGACAATCCATTATATAAAATTTTCTTTTTTTTAAAAATAAAAAAATAAAAAGCTAATAAAAAAATGGATGTGAAAAATTTTATTGATTCAGCGCTTCATAGACCACCACAACCAGAATCTCATGAAAAAAAAGTAAGAATTAACAATAAATGAAAAAAATTGCAAAAATAGTAATAATGATAACTACTTTTTTTTCAAAACTATTTATTAGAAATATTACAAAATTGGAAAAACATTAGGTACGTGAATTCCATTCATATCATCATCACTATTATATCTATTAATTAATCGATTAAATTTAATTGTTTTTATTTAAATGATATCTTTAGGTTCAGGAGCTTATGCGTCAGTAAAAGAAGCAGTAAAAACAACTACAGGCCATAAGGTTGCGATAAAAGTTATTCAAAAACGTAAAGTAAGAAATCAAGAAGACATGGTTTACAAAGAAATGGAAATATTATCCAAACTAGACCATCCTAATATTGTGAAATTTTATGATTGGTTCGAATCAAGAGATAAATACTATCTGGTATTTGAACTGTATCCTCGCCAATTAACCGATTAATTGATTATTATTGTTATCATCATCATCATCATCATCATCATTATCATCATCATTATCATCTACTACTACAACTCTACCCGCTATTATTCCTTATTAAGTGCGACAGGTGGAGAATTATTTGAAAGATTGATTGATGTTGGCAAATTTACAGAATCTGATGCTATAGAAATTCTCAAGACTATACTTGGAGCTGTCAAATATCTTCATGAACATAATATTGTACATCGAGGTAATGATAAATTAATACTTAAATATTTTAAAATATATCCATTTATCTGCATAATTTATTAATTGAATTTGTTTTTAGATTTAAAGCCTGAAAACTTATTATATAAAAATAAATCAAAAGATTCACCACTTGTTCTTGCTGATTTTGGGTAATAATAATAACAATTATTATTACTATGCTTAATAAATTATTTTAAATAATTAATTTCATCATCATTATTATTTATTATCATTATTCATTAATAAAGTATATCAAAAATTATAGATCATGAAAACGATATCATGTCCACACACTGTGGTTCTTATGCCTATGCAGGTAATTAATCATAAATATTCGATTATTATTAATCAAGTAATATTATAATGATTAATTTTAATATTTATTATGAATAGCACCAGAAATTCATAAAAGAATGACATATTCAAAATCAGTAGATCTTTGGAGTATTGGGTATGCATTTCTTATTGATGAACTATATATTATAATAAAATAATTAATATAATGATTTAATTTTTTTAATCTCATTGGCAGAGTCATAACGTATTATTTGTATGTAGACATATTATAATTATATTTTTTCAAAGGAATTTGGTTTTTGAAATTCTTAAATGAATGTTGTTTAATTGACAGATTATGTGGTTATCCACCATTTCGTTCAGAGGATCATGCAGCACTTTTTCAAGAAGTGACAACAGCACGCATAAAATTTGAACCACGTCATTGGAAACATGTTTCAGAGGATGGTAATTATTCTAATTCATAAATTTTTCATACGCATGTATTTTAACAATGAATGAATTTCTTTAATTTTAAACATTAGCCCAAGATTTCATTCTTGATTTGTTAAGATTGAATCCAAACAAACGACCTACAGCAGAAGAAGCATTGCACCATAAATGGTTGACGGGTAAAAGTACATCAGATATAGATTTGTTTGGAGATATTATGGAGAATTTCAATGCTCGTAAAACATTTCGTAAAGCAGTCGGGGCAGTACAAGCAGCCAATAGACTTGAGAAGAATAAGAAGAACAATTCAGCTGACAACAATACAAAAAGATTTAGTAGTGATTTTGAGAAAGATGACGGATATTACGATGATAGTGATGCTAGTGTTGATGATGTTAATAATTTAATAATAGAAGAAATTTATGAAGACAATCAAAAAATTGCAATTGTATAATGATAATAGTATTTGCATCTATCTATTCATTTTTTTATCGTTGCAACTAGAGTGATAAATTATTTATTTTGGGAAATATTTGCCTTTAATTTTCTTAATGTATTACATTTATCGAAAGACTGGGTTCAAATTCTACAACCAAATATATTTAACCACATATATTTATTTATTTCGAAATCAGGAAATTGCTTGAATTTTGTAAATTAAAAATGTTTTGTCAATTCTCTCTTCTTTATCTACCTACCTATCCTTAAAATGAAAATATAAAATCTATTTCACACACCCCAAACGATGCACACCAGCGTATACTAATAATATAGAATTTTACGAATTCTATGCGTAAAAAATATAAATTACAAATTGTGTAACAAACTTTATATAATGAATTCAAAACCATTATAGGTTAAAGGTAATTCTGGCATAGTGATCCGACGATAAATTATGGAATGCCCTTTCCTTCTTAATATTTGATCTTCAAATTTGAGCCGGAAAGCCTTTGTTCTGAATTTGAAATGGCTTCTCTATCTAAAGAGGCTATTTATGTAAAGCTATAGTTATTCAAAGCATCATTAATTATCACTTCAAAACTAATATTTTTTTTCCAATATAAACTTGATGAGCGATTGAGAAGATGTAAAATATTATGAGCCTTCATATGGGTATAGCTTTATGGTAATTGTTGAGAAAGCACAAATGGGAGACCAAATGCGACAGGTTTGTGCATGCATACATGACATCAATTTTTGAAATCGAGATGCCCTTGCAAAAATCGAAAGTCGGAATCAATGTTGTGACTTTAATCTTTTTTGAATTCCCTAAACAGTTTCGGGAGAGAGAACCTACACTAAACTTAAGCCTAAAACCCACCATAACATTACCCTAGGCTGATTTCTGTTTCGGGCCACAGCATTAGTTGAAATCAAAAATCAAAAATTGAATTTTTTGTAACTTATTCAGAAGAAAAAGGGCTCGGAAGACACCAAAAATTGTATCGGGTACTTTAATATTAACAAAAACTTCCACGTGAACTACCATCGTCACAATATTTACAAACAAATACAGTACGTGCGTATAGTCAATGACCGGTCATCAAAGTCATTTATTTTGTCATTTGCCAGCACTGGATTACATATAATCCGGTCCCGTTTACTTTGTCGAAAATTATTTCGTCGACAATCATTTCGTCGACACCCATTTCGTCGAAAGTTTGTTTCGTCGAAAGTTCATTACGTCGAAAATTATTTCGTCAACAATCACTTCGTCGACAATCACTTCGTCGAAAGTTCATTTCGTCGAAAGTTTGTTTTGTCGAAGTTCATTTCGTCGACAGTTCATTTCGTCGGCTTATGTATCGTACTAATGATAAATGAGGTGATGATAGTGATGGCAACAATATCGACATTGA